TCTCTATTTTCTTTGAAGTTCTTATCAGCAAGTGCTGTTGGATTTTGACAAAAGGATTTTTGGCATCTATTGCTTTGATTCTGTAGCATTGTCTTTGTTTCTCCTTATGTAGTGTTATGGTTTACATCTGTGTGTCCCCTCCAAAGCCTCGTGCGACCATGGGGCAGGCTTTTAGAGATGAATGATTGTGGGTGTGAAAGCTACACCTGACCTGGGGTGGATAGTTTGCATATGTAAGGGAGAGGAAAAGAGTTCTTGGGGACATTCCTCCCCCATTCCGCCCTGGTGTGTGCTTGCAGCTTAGCTGTGTTCTGCTGCCCTGAGCTGTAGCTCTTTGCCATGTGCCACTCTGCCTTATAATCTGCCAAGTATGGACTGAAACTTCCATGAACTGTAAGCGAAATAAACCTTTCCTTCCTTAATTTTGGGGGTCAGGTATTTTGTCCCAGCAACGAGAGAAAAGTAACCAAGACATGTAGTATACTATGTTTGATGACTTGTATGTGTGAAACCACCTTTACAACTCTGTGATAAAACCTACTAGTCATGATGTCTGTTCTTTTTGATTAGTTGCATTCTTTTCACTAATAACTTATTGAGGAGTTTTGCATCTATGTTCATTAAAGAGATCTGCCTGTAGTTTTCCTTTTGTGTGTGTGTTGGGTCTTTGTCTGCTTTTGGGATCAGAGTGATGCTGGCTTTCTTTCTTTTTTTTTTTTTTTGATGCTGGCTTTCTTAAATGAATTTGGAAACACTCCATCCATTTCCATTTAATTCAAGTATTTGAGGTGTATTGGTGATATAATGTCCTTAAATGTTTTCCAGAATTCAGCAATACATCCTTCAGGTCCTGGAAATTTTTTAGTTGGTATGGTTCCTTTTTAATTACTGTCTCTATTTCATTGCTTGTTGTTGGGTTGTTCAGCATATTTATGTCATCTTTGGTTAGCTTTGGTAATTTGTACACGTCTAGGAATCCATCTCTCCAAAAATTCCAACTTTATTAGAACACAAATTTTAGTGGTAGTTACTCAGTATCATCTGGGTTTAGACTGTGTCTGTTTTGATTTCACCATTTTCATTTCTGATGCACTGATGTGTGTCTTTTCTCTCTTCCTCTTGCTAAGGTTGGGTAATGGTATATCTATTTTGTGTTCTTCAAAGAATAAACTTGTCGCATTGTACGACTGTGGCTGCTTAGAGGCAGAGGAAGATTACTCAGAGATGAGATTTAATTCAATCACCATGAACTCAGAGGGACTGATTCCCGAGCACTAAGAGAGCTTCAGGGAAACAACAAGCAGCTGAGACTTCCACAGTTAATTTTTTAAACTCGAAGACATCAGAACAAAGATATAAACAAAAAGTAATTACAACATATTGTATAGGAGCTTTGGTCAGGGGAATAGGACTAGAAAAGGAAGGCCCGCTGCATGGTGTGTGTGAACCTAGCTTAAACAAGCTTATTGGGCAGGAAGCTTATCAGAGGGGAGGAAGAATGCAGTGACCAACATCTGTTGAGAATAACCTGTTGTTGATTCTGTTGACGACTGTTCTACAGATCTGTTCTAATCTGTAATGATACATTTCAGATGCCTAGGAAATCTTCTTCCTCAAGCTCTCATCCTCCAACATTCCTATAAAGCATCCTCTAGTCAGTTTCCCACACCGACTTGTCAATTCATTGGTTGTTTATATTGGTTTTTAGTCTCAATTTTCTTGACTTTTGCTGTAATCTTTAAGATTTCTCTCCTTAATTTTGGTTTGGGCTTGGGTTGCTGTTGTTTTTCAAGTATCTTAAAATTCCTCATTGGGTATTTATTGGAGCTAGCTCAGTTTTTCTTATGTGAGCATTGATTGCAATGAACTTGCACTCCAAGACTGCTTTCATTGTGTCCCATAGGTTGTGGTCTGTTGTACAGGCATTTTCATTAACTTCCAGACATTGTTTAATTTCTTCCTTTATTTCTTCTGTGACCCATTGGGTGTTCAGGATATATTATTAAGTTTCCAAGCACTTGTAAATCTTCTGTTATTTCTTCCATGGCTGATTTTTATTTTCATTACACAGAGGTCTGAGAGTAAATATGGGGTGATTTTGATTCTTTAGTATTTATTCAAGCAGGCTTTGTGATCTCATATGTTATGTATTTTGGAGAAACTACCATGTGCTGCAAAAATGAATGTCAGGGGAAAGATAAATAAGAAAAGTAATAATGGATAAAAAATTGAATAAGGGGTCACATTCTTTTTTATGTTTGGGATTCAAAGTTAGTATTAAGAGTTTAGAGAAGGTACTTGTTGCAGGCAGGATGTATGGGGAGGGAGCTATCATTTAGAATTGAGAATAGCTACAAAGTTGTCGGAATCTGCTGACATATTTGTGCAGCTATGAGGTGGCGAAGAAGGGAGGAAAGGAAAGGCTACATATGATAAAGAAGTCTGAAGAGAATAGAATAAAGGGACTAGAAGGTTAATACAACAGAAGAGGAAAGTGGCTGAGAAACAGCAGGTTATATGAAAAGAAAAACGGTATGAAGTCAAAGAGTAGGAGAAACAATTAAAAATAAGTAAGTAATGTTGATTCAAACACTAGAATTGGAGAAAACATTAGGAAAGAAGAGAGAAAAACTACTAATTCAATGCAAAAAGAAAGAGAAATGAAGCACGGTAGCGAGAAAGATCCAGTCAGTTCCCAGTTCACACACTCCAACAGGAGCTCCTACATGCAATTCTTATGCATCCACTGTGTTCTATAGCCTACATGTCCACACAATTCCTTTCTTGATTTTGTGCCGGTCTGCTCACAGGCAGCCATGTGAATCTCCCCTTTTCAGTCTGCTCCCCTTCAATAATTAGGCAGAAAATCACCCTGACCCCGTCTTGGTTTAGGAGCTCTTTTCTCTCAAAGACTTGTAGTGGACTTGGCAGGTTTGGGGCACCAGGCTCAGATTTAGTCAGGTTTAGGATTTCTGGTGGAGTCTTGGGTGATTTCAGAACTGTCATGGAGCATCAGGTGGAGACATGTAGATTAGAGTCATTTTCTGTCCAATAGCTGAAGCAGGGAAGATAGAAAAAAGGGCAAATTCATACAGCTGCATGCAAACACACTGCCACAAAAGCAAGAAGGAAATTGCGTGGATATGCATGCAGCACAACACAGTTGACACATGAGAAGTGCATGTATCTTCTTTCAAATTAATTTTCTGTATCAGGGTGTAAATCCCTCTCCTGCTTCTAATTACCTGTGATTTTAGTTGATCTTCCCTGAGTGTCTCTGACCTCATTCCTCCTCTCATCAGATGTGTTAGGTTTCTGTTTTTGAGTTTAACACATAAGTGTTTGACTTGGACTTTTTCTCAGATATGATTGTTGACGCTCTGGCAAAGGAGTACTGAATTTTTTATTATATACACAATAGTTGTATCAGGTTAGGCAGCATTATAATCTGGCTATTGTCTGTATTTTGAAATTAAGTATTGGTTAAAGGAGATGTATTTGGGTGACCAGTTGATAGGGGGTGGAATGTGATAGTTAACTCTAATTGTGTCAACTTGATTGGCTTAAGAACTAATCAGGAAAGCACATTTCCAGATGTGTCTTTGTAGGCCATGCAATTGTGGCCTTGTGCCACTGGTCTAAGAAGGAAAGAGAGGCATGTGGTGAAGAAGATCTCTTCATTCATGAATGTGCTCAGGTAGTGGCATGCTATTAGTACCATTTTCAGAATATTTCAAAAATAAGTATGATAAGGCGCACCTGTCTGGCAAGCATGGGGTCGTGAGTTTGATTTCCCGTACTGCGGAAAAAAAAGAAAGGAATTTGTGACGGGTGTGTTGGTGCATGCCTGCAATCCCAGCACTCAGAAGGCTGAGGCAGGAGGATAGTTGTAAGTTTGAGACCAGCCTGGGCTACAAAGTGAGCTCAAGGCCAGCCTGAATTGCACAGTGAGACCCTGTCTCAAAAAAAAAAAAAAAAAAAGACCAAAACAGAAAATAAGTATAATAAAAATACTGAGTGTCAAAATATATTGATTATACAAAAAACTATATATGAGGGGAAGCATTAGTATTACTTATCAGGAAGTTACTGCCAGTAGGTGAGCCAAAGAATGATGACATAGTCAATGATCATTGCAGTGATGAAAGAAATAGAAAGATTTTAATTATCATTTATACCCGGCAGAGGGACTTGAAATAATAATTAGAAATGAAGGACAAGTGGATGAGAAAATTGAAAAATGAAAAATAAATCCAAATTTGACACGTGTGCTTTAAGAATTTAGGTTCTTTTGAAGTTTAGTGTGATTTTTCTTATAAGCTCCGGTGATGGAACTACAAACCATTATAAGGACATCTAGGGTAAGCTTAAAAATTGAACCCAAATTTTCTTATTTAGTTGCAATGCCAGATTTTAATATCTAGTTATACAAATTTTATATATATTATTATCATTTTTTAGTATAAGCTACCCTTTGTTTCATGTACACTAATAAGTTAAAGTTGAATATTTCTATTGCAGTGTGTACTGATACTTGCAGTATTTTAAGAAAATCACTTTCTGATAATTAAATTACATTTCTTTTAAAGTTCAAAATCCTTTTATCAAATAAGGATGTTGTTTACATTGTGAAACAATGCTGATGTAGAAAGGTACTAATTACTTAAGGTTTCAAACCAAGAACTGAAGAATTGATAATGATACACAAATGCAAAGTTAATGAGAAAGCATATCATTAAAGGTCAAGTTAGAAGCTAAAGCTTTCGCATGTTGGTATTTAGATGAAAGATGTGGAAGCACAAAGTAATGACTTATTTGAACTAAGGGATGATTGTTGAATGGGTAGTGCCATCCCATAGGACCTCAGGTGTACATGAGTAATTTCAAAGTTAAATGCTGGTTATGGTTAAATATAAAGACTCAAATTATTTTGACCAATCCTTTAAATATCAGTTTTCAAAATCTTTTCATATTCTTTACTTATTGTTATCTGGCTCCAGGACATACCACTCCAATAAGTGATTTGAAATGCCAAATGCCAATGATGACCTGACAGTCAGCCCTCTGTACACATTTTTAGGTAAGTGGCTTTTGTAATAGGAACATCATATATATAAGGATACTCTCTGTTCAGAATGGCCATTGTGTCAAATAATTAATGATAAATAACTACTGCTTTATGCAGAATATGTTTTAAAATAATATATTTTTAAAAATACCTTATTTAAGATATTTTTAAAAATAGGATATTTTTTCATAAGTTCCATACAATGCCGCTAGTTAACATAACTCACTGTTCTCTGACATACACTTACTTAGGGGAACCCGAAAGCAATGTCTGAGTAGTCACTCATTGTCTTGGTTACTTTTCTTTTGTTGCTGAAACAAGATACCTGAATCCAAAAATTAAGGAAGGAAAGCTTTATTTAGCTTACAGTTTGTGGGGTTTTCAGTCCATACTTGGCTGGTTCCAAGGCAGAGTGGTACACGGCAGAGGGCTACAGCTCATGGCGGGAACAGCAAAGCAGCAAGAGCACAAGGGAGGAGTGGCAGAGAACAACAAGCCTCTTTCCTGCCCTTATATTGTAAGCAACCTACCCCGACCCAGGGAGCATGTAGCATTCACACAATCTCCATGACCTCCTCTTGCACAGGCTCAGGATGAATACAAAGTAAGCACCCTGGCTCCCTGCTGAGTCACGTAGTTAATCTTCTAAACTTCTCAAATTGACACAGTGAACAACATCCTAGTGGGGTAAAGGCATGTCCTTCTCACCCAAGATGCAGAACTGCTGAGTCACTTAGCCAAACCTCTAGACTCCTCAAGTTGACACAATGCATCAACCATAACACTCATTATTTTAAATGCTTGTTGAGCACCATGGGACCCAAAGAATAAATCATGGCCAGGACTCTTAAGGAGCTCATGTTAAGTGGAGACTCAAAAATAAAACACCCTCACACCATGATAAATGTGAAATGTGCACTGATAAAGTAACTGCAATGGGAGGAAAATTCAGAAGGAGCTGAAGGATTTATGGGTGAACATCTAGAACAGGAGACATTAAAACTGTACCTTCAAGAAGAAGCATGAATTTGACAAGCTAATAGATTGAAGAAGGACTTTTAGAATAATTAACTTAATAATAGATACATATGGTTTTCATGTTTGCCATCTTCTGGATTAGACAAAAGTTATTCTTTCTTTCCCTCATGACTATCACAGTTAAGATCACCATTATTATTTCTCCACTACAGATCAGTTAATTGAATCTCAGGTAGAACTTTTAGTTAACAAAGGATTGAGTTAAGATTCAAACTCAGCCAGCCTAGTCCCAGGCTCTATCCTCTGACTGCCATGCTCTAGAGCTGGCACAGAACCCAGTGGGTTTGGGGATGAAATTGCCTCAGGAGCTTTGGTGATGGATCTTGGAATATTTCAGCTGCCAAGTTTCAGCATGATAGGATACAATTCCTGTTATGTCCTATTCCAAGACTACCCTACACCATTTTTGGTAAGCATATTTTAAACACCCAAGTAGTTCAGGACATAAACTTGTGCATTTGTTCTACTCATTCAAAAAATAAGGTTGTAGACATTAAGTTATGATACTCAAATTTTTCAAAATTGTCTATATCATTAAAATTGCTATGCAAAGAAATATCTTATGGCTTTGGTGCTCTTTTTATAACTTAAAATACATGAAACCTTTTTTATTCTCCTCTCAAAAGAAAGAGTGAAATGCTCAGCACTTTTTTGTGCACCAGTAACATATATTTAACGTGTTTGAGTGTACGAAATATACTGGTTGTTTTTTTGGACCCCTGAGAGAATTTGGAAGTAAGTCCTGAACAGCTAATAATGGTCCCGAGGAAGGACAACATACCAGAAATAACATTCCAGCTGGCTTGGTTTTTGTTTGTTTTATAAAAATCTTCTGCTGTACCAATGCCCGCTGTGTAACCCTTAATTTGAACATATATTTAGGGGACTAGTTGGCATTGTCACATAATAATTGACTGCAAACCTTACTCATGAAGAGGTGTTGCTCAGCCACGCATAAAAGTCGGCAAGGGGTGGAGATAAAACTGAATCCAAAGCAGAAGTACAAGGACAACTGATGACATTCACCCAATGAAAACTGCTCTGTACTTTTGTTCCTACTCATAAGGAAAGATAGTAAGTGGAGGTGGTGATATAGAAAACAAAATTGGATTTTGCTCTCACAGAAAAGATGGTGATTGCTAGGTATCTACAGTTTGCGCATGTGTGTGTATGACCCGGTGGTGTTAATTTGTTATAGCTGTTCTGTGTTTAAAATTTCTCCTCAAATTTAAACCTCACTGTGATGCCCCTAAAGGTTGTTTACCTGAGATCCTGGATAGTCAATTCATCACACAACATTATCTATTTTCTTTTGTTGTTGTTGTTACTCATATTACCTGAATCATGAGTCATGACAGGTGTTATGGTAATTTGTCGGGGTGAGTAGCTTCTAAAATAGTTCAAGTAATCCCTACCTTGTGGTTTTCAAGCCATTTCTTTCCCCCTCTAAACGTAAGGAAGTCTTATGAGTATTGATTTTCTCCCAGGGAATAGGCTACAACAGGAATAACAAGGTGTTTCTTTTAGAAATTAGTTTACAAACTTGGGCTCACACCCTGAGGGAACCCAGTGACCATATTGTGAGCTGTCCTGTATCAGTTTGCAGGACCATGGTACCATAACAAAATGCCACTGGTGGTGTCACACAAGTATTTCTCATGAGTAACAGATCAAGGTGCAAGCAGGGTTGATATCTCTGGAAGTGATGCTTCCTGGCTTGCAGATGTGAATTCTTCGCATCCCTCTGTGGGTGACATCTTTGGTGTCTCTTTTTGTGTAAAACTTCTCCCTTAGAAGAACAGTCAGATTAGATTATGTCACAGCTAGAAATCTTGTTTTAGCTTAATCATCATTTTAAAAGTGTTACTTCCCAATACAGTTACATCTTGAGGTATTGGGAATTAGGACATCGAGCAGGAGTTTGGGTGCCATCCTCAACCCCATAACAAAGCCCACTTGTCGAGAAATTGATGCAGGCCTCAGTGGCCAAGGAACTAATGGCCTCACTCATCAGTCCGTAGGAAACTGGATCCAGTCAGTAGCCATGCGAGTGAAGTAGGAAAGGGACTCTCCTGCAGGAGAAATTTCAGATGAGTTCAAAGCCTGGGCCAACTACCTGGCTGTGCTCTCCTAAGTGCCCTCAGGCAGGAAGCCCCAAGGTTAGTCACACCTAGTAGCATTAATGGCCTACGCAATGTGTGAGATGACAAATCTTTGTTCTTTACAGCTTCTAAATTTGTGGGTAATTGGTTATACAGTCACAAATACATATACCACTATTTTTAAATAATAACATCAGTTTTTGTTTGGTGTCCTGTGTGTTTTGGAGCTGATTTTAATGAAATTGTAGTAAGTGTAGTGGGTACTGTGTTCTATTACCCATATTCCACAAGTCAAATTTTAAGAACTCATTCTTGGCTGGAGAATGTTGGTTGTTGACAGCGTACAGGTGCCCCAAGGAATCCTTCCAAAAACTGCATTGAACTGATAGATAATTTGATCACTCATATTCCATTTGTCTCAATGTTCAGGAATTTGACCTTAGCAAGAGCTGACATACTTCATAGTGTTCTGGCATTATGGAGAGTGTCTCAAAGGACCTCTCATAAATTGAACCTGACATAAAAAGAATATTGTCATAAGTTGGATCTTCCCTTCTGTTGGTGCCCTGTATTACTCTTGGGATTAATCTGTATCCTCCAGCAAGATGTATGAGTTTTTACAAAATGGGCAGAAGCACTGCCACTTAGATCAGTTTCATTCTTCACTTCAATCAGGATAAAAGGCGCAGCCCTATTTATAAAAATCTCAGGGTTGGAGATTTCAAGGATGTTTCAGCTGCTTTGCAGAGGTTATTAGCAGCAAGAGGATAGCTCTGCATTGTCTTTCTTTTTTATTTTAAAGAGAATACTAAAAAAAAAAAACAATATCAAAATACCCACATCACACACTCTGATCACAGCCTGCTGCTCACAAAATAATGACATGAAGCACGTAAAAGCAAATAAACTTTGATCCTCAGCACACAGCCCTCCATTTCATTGTGACTACCTTCATTTTTACTCTTTCCCTAAACTACAACAATGAAGCAGAATGCAGATGCTTTCTTGAAGATCAAGTGCTTTTCTTTCCTTCAACTGGAAAGAAAGAAACCTTTATGAAAAGAGCTCTAAGAAGTTGGGAATTGAAGTTAGGCCATCCATACTTTCAGAAAAGCTGAATCAACTCAAATCCACAATCATTTTTTTATGGCTCTGTGCTCAATGACTATCAGTACTTCAAAATCTATTTTTTGAAAATGCCAAGCTCAAGTGTTCACACTAGGGCTGAACTGCAAACACTTTGCTACATCAGCTACAATTTAACCAAGAACGCTGGTTTTTAATAACACAATGACCGAAATGTGTGATAGATTGGTATAATCTGAGAAAATACCAACATAGGGCTAAATGTTTCTGTATTGTACTAGGGTAGCTACTACAGCACGCAAATAAAACACACAAAATAAATATGGACATTTAGATAAGAAAAAGAGTATGGTTAAATGTGTTTAACACAAAGAAAACATGAAATGTAATTCTTTTTTATTTTAAAGATTTAAAAAACTAACAAAACAACAATGAAGACAAAATCAAAGCAACACAAAAACAACAAAAAATGAAACATGACCTCAAAACAGAATGATAGGAATTAACAATGGCTGCTACATTACATACTGTTGTCTTCAATGATGTAATTCTGAGGCTTTTATCTTTTGCTAATATTTTGGATGTTTGTGACTGATATTTATTTTATAAATAAATATACCACCCCTACAAATCTGTCTTAAACACCTCATGGCAACTAAAATTTTGTACAATTTATGTTAGCCCAATATAAATTATAACTAATATAGAAAATTCTTCTATAGTGGAAAGCTGGGTTTTGGGTATTTCTGTAATTTAGGTCAAAACTGAATTTAATACTTTGGAATT